AAGTAGGTGCTTTAGACCACTGAGCCATCTCACCAGCCCCAAATAAATAAAATTTTTAAAAATTAATAAAATAAATAAATAAATGTTAGGTCCTCCTAGAGTCTGTCAACCTCCTGATCTTTTTAATTTTTTTGTGGAAGTGGGGATTGAACGCAGGCCCTTGCACTTGCCAGGCAAGCGCTTATTCTGCTGAGCTATCTCCCAAACTCCAGCTATCTCCCTGGTCCCTACCTCCTGATCTTAAGGTACAGGGATGTTCTCAGGGTAAAGGAACATAAATGCTTGTGGTGACATCTTGGGTTCGGGAAGTCAAAGACTCAAGCTGGTTTGGATGAGTGAGACCTGGAACAGTAAATTATTTCTACTAACTTTTCTAACTCAATGGCAATGTATGCATGTAGCTTTGCCACTGTTAATTTTTGAGGATTAAGCTGCTCTGTTCAATTCAGCATGGGAGTCATTTCCCCAAATGGTTTTTGGGTTTTGGTTTTATTATTGAAGACAGGATCTCACTATGTAGTTCAGGCTGGCATCTAAACTCACAGCGAGGGCTGGAGAGATGGCTCAGTGGTCTAAAGCACCTACTTAGAACAAGCTTGGCAAAGCATTAGGTTTTTTTTTTTTTTTAAAGCCAGGAGGTGTTCCGGGAGTGGCCTGAAGGGAAGCGGGAGTGCATTTCTACAGCTGGGTCAGGGTGGGTGGGAGAGGGAAAAGAACAGCGAGGACGGATCAAGGGCTCATAAAGCACAGATGGGCCATTGTGGTTGGCACCAGTCGTCCTAGTCTGATGGCTCTTTTCCCTTTCTTGAATCACTGGTTTCTTGAGGGAGGAAAGCTGTGATTGTTCTTTCTGTACAAATGCACATTTGTAGACAAATTTTATGGATAATTTGGGGCTGAATAAGGAAATTCATCCCAAGCTACAGGTCAGGAGCTTCTGTGTGAAGCACAGTGGTGAGTCCCCTGCCTTCCCTCCCACTCATAACCTGCACTGTTAGGAGAGATGCAAAGGTGCTCTTTTTTTTTTTTTTTTTTTTTTTTTTTTTTTGGTGGGGAACTAACTGACTGGGGATCAAACTGAGGACCTTGCCCTTGCCAGGCAGGCACTTAAGCCACTGAGCTATCTCCCCGGCCTTCATTAGGAGAGATGAACACTATGACCTTTATTGGAGAAATCTGTATCCCCCACGCTGGTTTTTTGAGACAGTCTCACTATAGGCTGACTTTGAACTGACCCTAGGGCTGAGACTGGCCTCAACCCTTGGGGATCCTCCTGCCTCAGCCCCCCAAGTGCTGCAATTACAGATATGCACTACCACTCCCAGCTGGAGATATCTTTGAGGTATCCTCAGGATTTTTTTCTTCACCCCAACAGTCTAAATGTTAGGTCCTGGGCTGGTGAGATGGCTCAGTGGTCTAAAGCACCTACTTGGAACAAGCTTGGCAAAGCATCAGGGACCGCGGTTCAATCCCCCAGCACCACATGCCAGCCAGTCCTGCCCCCTGGTGGGCTGAGCTGGCCACGCACATACACA